TCAGGAGGGTGGGATACCATTATGGGTCGTAGTGGATCCCTTAGCAAGTATAGTCACTTCATACCTCTGAAACACCCCTTCTCAGCAGCAACTGTCGCAGGCAAATTCATGACTGAGGTGGTAAAATTACACGGAATGCCCTTGTCCATCATTAGCGACAGGGACAAAATATTCCTAAGCCAATTCTGGAGGGAGCTCTTTAAACTACATGGGGTAGATTTGAAACGCAGCACGGCCTATCACCCTCAATCGGATGGCCAATCTGAAGTGGTGAATCGTTGCCTCGAGACATATCTTCGTTGCTTTTGCTCGGGAAGACCAAAACAATGGGCCAAATGGTTGTCATGGACCGAGTACTGGTACAACAGCTCATACCATTCGGCCACCGGTACTACACCTTTCAAAGCCCTCTATGGACGAGACCCGCCACCCCTATCAGATATGAAGGTCAGCAGACGCCAATGGATGCTATTGACCAGCTGCTGGAAGATCGTGACATCGCCCTTGATGACCTCAAGATGAATCTCATCCGGGCCCAGCAGAGAATGCAAGTTCAAGCTAACAGGAAAAGAAAGGATGTGGAATATAAGGTCGATGAATGGGTTTACTTGAAGCTACGGCCATACAGGCAACTAAGTTTGGCTCGTAGGAGGTCGGAAAAGCTGTCGCCCTGTTACTATGGACCTTTTCGGATTCAGCAAAAAATTGGGAAAGTCGCTTATAAACTCGAATTACCCCCCACCACTAGTATTCATCCTACGTTTCATGTTTCACAACTCAAGGCTGCTATAGGAGCTCCAACACAAGCTAGGGAAATTCCACCTCAGCTCAACGAGGACTTAGAGCGGGTGACTCAACCAGAAGAGTTGCGAGGGGTTCGATACAAGAAGAATGGAGGGGCTGAAGACAAAGAAGTCTTAATTAAGTGGGAAGGGCTAACCGAAATGGAAACGACATGGGAAGATTACTCCAAGGTGAATTTGCAGTTTCCAGGTTTTAACCTTGAGGACAAGGTTGAAGTTTGGGCCGCCGGTGTTGATAGGCCCCCAATCCGTCAAGTTTACACTCGTAAGAAGAAGAAGAAGCCCATGGGTGGCAGCCCAGTAAGGCTGGTCCAGTCCAGTGAATTGCAGGGGACAGACCAAGGGTAATTTGGTCTTAGGAGCTCTTTTTGCTGCAGCTATTTCGTGGGAGACCTCCTTAGTGGGAGTGGAATGTTCTTTGTCATTTCATGGCTGCTATTTGTCCTTTTTGTCTTTTCTTTCCAGTATTTATAGGGAGTTTTGTTTTCCGTTTGGATGGAGGAAAAATTTGTAATTGCTTAGGCAACTTGGAGAGCACTCACCTCTCGAAAGTGAGATTATCCCTAATTCTATGAAAACTCCAGTTCAATCCAAATCCCATTGTTACTCTTAGATATAACGTTGTAAGAGCAGCAGGAAGGAACTTAATACATTTATCGAAACAAGTATAAGTTGAAGGGTACCTGTGGCCCAAAGACTTGCACCAATATGTTCCTAAAAGCTGCCTCTCAGCTTCAGCAGGCCAAGTGAATGATAGATTGAGCTCAGGTGTCTGGATATCAGCAATTCTCACGACAGTTAATCTTCCCTTTCCATCTCCCAAAGCAATCCAGTTCTCCACACAACCCGGGAAATGGAATACGCTCATACAAACTATTGGAATCTCCTCTTGGCTACAGAAAAGCCGAGTCCATGCTACATCACCGGTATCAGATATTTTAGCAAGGTACAAGAAGCCATTGTTTGTGGCTACATAAAGCTCACATTCACTCGCAAGATGCATACAACGTACATATTCGCTTTTACTGCAAGTGCAACAAATGTGAAGGTAACTAAAAGGTAGGTATACTCAAAACAATAATAATATCATTACAATATACCTGTCCATTAGTGCAGTACGCTTTGAATTTGGAATTTGGATAGTAAAGATCTGTTTTCTTTCATACTCTTCCAGACCATTGCATCTCTCCGATTCCGATTCCAATTCCGATCCCATGGGCAAACAAGAATGCACTTTTATGGCAGAATCAAATCCAGCTGTAACAAGAAGAGAAGAGCTTGGATCATACAAGCATCGCCATACTCCCCTCCCTCTGTACGATAAAGTAGCATAATTTTTTTAGCTATAGTTAGTTGCATCCTAAGAACTATAGGACAACTTACATCAACATTCTTACTGAACATGTGAGTTGAGCGCTTTTACAATACTTGTTAACATGATACTGAAAAATCAAAATAAAGATTGTCTGCAACTTACATATGCTCCTTGATTATTCTAAGTTGTGTTCCATCCAGTCCCCATACACGACATGTACAATCCTCGCCGACGGTGATGATTAACTGATAAAAAAAAAAAAAAATAATAATGAAAACAGATATTTGTTGGCCACACCACACACATAACAAATGTAACTGAAATGGCACATCCAATGAACCAGAAAAGAGGTAATGTGATCCAGACTTGTTTTCCTTGTCTATAGCAAACGAAACAAAGATGCACTGATTTTGAACTTATTTATTGATTTGACAGGGAAAGAGAGACTATTAACAAGGAAACATCCAAGTTAAACACATATTAGGCAATATCCCATTCAAATTGTTTTCACTGAAGAGAATAAAGATAAAGTGAAGTGAGAGGTGGGCTTACAGAGTCGGACATACAGCAATCCCAAACCCTGGCAGTGTGGCCAAATAGCACAGGCCCAGTGGAAGGAGAAACAGTCACCTCTGTATCATCATCAGAGTCTCTTTTTCCAGTATGAACTTCCCAAATACGGGCACTGCACTAATAAGATATCAAAGGAATCAATATGAATAGTCAGTCAGAAGGCTGATAAAGTTGGGATGAGAATTGACCTGCGATCATCCGAGACAGACACCAGTTTTGATCCATCCAAAGACCATGTAATACGGAATATAGAACCTTCATGCCCCCCCAGTCTACATACTGGGACAGCTTTGTACTCACCCGTCTTTGATTTTGATCCCATAGGAAGAGTGTCTACTACTTTCCACACAATTATCTGCCAGGACAATTTTACAATCAACTATCTCATCTCATCTCATCTGGAAACTAATTTTACTAATGTAACTATCTATTATTATCTAACAGCCACCCGCCAAACTCATAATATATTTGACCAAACTTTATGTGTCAGGCATTGACTTGACCCGCATAAAAACACACATTCGGGTGGCTCCCAGTTGACTAGTTTGAATATCATTTTCAACTTTCAACTGCAGAGGCTAGAAAGCAATTTTGTGACCTCAAATGCCAACTCATCTTGGTAGCATCTGTTTTTTCTAATTGTATTTAAAATAAAAATAAAAAATAGTTACCTGGTTATAAATTGTACCAGATGCTACATGGAGAGAATCAATTTTGTGACCCCAAATGCGCATCGTATACAGAAGACATCTGTCTGTGAATGAAGGAAGGAGGAAAATGTGAAAAAGAGAAACAACAAACAATATCTTGAAAATACGTATGTAGCATTACGTAGTGTTGCAAGTGTAGGTAGGTAGAAAAGCATACATACCTGGAGAGCTCACCTGAAAGCTGATTGTAGATGTCAAGGTGTCCCAGAAATACAGAGTGTTGTCGGTGCATCCAATGGCAAGAAACTGACTCCCTTGAAGAATTACAGATTCCTACTACCGAGCAAGAACGTAAGGAACACAGGAGCGAACATCGGAGAAATCCATATATAGCAATCGAAATTAAAAGAGATTATTTCACCACCTGTATGAAGCAAACATCCAAAACCCAGTGACCCAAATTAGGCAGGGACTGAAAAGAGAGCAGATGGACGAGCGTTTGTTTGTTGTGATGCGGCAACTGAATCTTGAAGAGAAATAATTTGAGCCTGCGCTCTCCAAAGACGGCGACTCTGAAAGTAAGTGATGTATCTGTTACTGTATCTGTTAGGGGAAGACAAGAAATGCCGTGCACCCTAACACCCTTGAAAACTTGAAAGGAAGCGATCATATTGCCAGTATGCAGGTCATAGAAAAGTAGCTGCGAACCAGTTCCTGGTTGACGACATAAAAAGAAAGCAATGGAGGGATTAAATGGAAAGCAACAAGTTCGTTGAGAGAGTCAGGGTAGCATAGAACATAACAGTAATAATAAAGATCAAGTAGAGAACCAGCAAGGAGATAAGGAAGAGATGGAGACGGGGGAGGGAGAGGGAGGTGGAGAAAACACAGAGCTGAGATTTCTCCGAGGTACTGTCCGCTCTCCATTATTCCGACTGACCGGAAACTCTAGATTACAGATGACAAACAACTTTCTTTCTTTGTTTCTTTATTCAGCGGGAGACGGCGTTTTTGTGAAAAGGATGAAGAGGAGGTCAAACCGTCAAAGTCAAACAAACCACTTATGGCCTGGGCTGGGCTGGCGTAGGCCCATTAATAGCAAAAAGAAAAAATGTTACGTAAAAATTTCCAATAAGACGTTACGGTGAATATATGAATTTGGTAAATTGTATGCAAGAACCAAAAGCGACGAGTTAACATCACCCTATTTTGTAATTTTGAGAATCCTTCTTGCATATCGGCTTTTGTTAAATCCAACTCCTGTCAAAGGGTTTTATGAACGTTATCTTGGTTGGAATATTTGTGTGGTTGCTTTATGTGGAAGCCGATCAAGACTGAAAAACATGAATAGTAGACCCGACTACCCGAGAACATGATTTATGAAAACCAAGATTATGAAATTTGTCAAGGACACAACATTTATGGAGGCATGGAAACCAAAACAAATCACTCCAATTCATACATTTTATAAGTCGGGGAAATGGTAAAAAAAAAAAAAAAAATGACCTTAATAAGTCATATAGTCATTGCAATTGACTAAAAAGGCTTGACCATGAACCGGTTTATTAACCGATTTCCATTCAAAAACTACCAACCAGACCAAATAGGACCAAACCATTCCTCATAAAATAGGGTTTCTAGCTAGACCTAGGTCGAAATTGGTTAGCCAATCTTAGCATGCAATTCTACATAGGATATGGAGAGTAACTGTGAATGTATAACCCAACAACGATAGCCATCCGAGTGTTTTTTTTTTCAAGCCCGGATTCTAATTCATCCAATGTATCATTTTTGATATGCATACAATTTAATTACTCTTCGTACCTTTAATGAATTTGATAAATTAAAAAATTATATTATATGTCTAAATTTTATATGAACTTTGCAACACGCAACTAGAGATCACCTTGTGTAACTTAAGTTGGCAATAACTGTCAACATCGACTAGGCACATTAAAGTTGGGGAGTTTTTCACCAAGAATGCTCTTTATTCTAATAAGAAGGAAAAAAAACCCTAAACTTCTTACAATCAAATGGCATCACCTCAACTTTGACTTGTGGTTCAATCATATCCGGGACCTGACACATGGAAAAATCACTAAAAAAGACCAACAAACACATAGCAATTTATGTAGCACAAAGCCACAAACCACTTGAACAAGCATTGGAATCAGAAAGAGCATAATAATAATTATTCCTACAAACAAAATTTCAACAGCTTGCAATCAGCAAACGGTTTTCAGGAGAGATGTTAGATGGAACATATTTGACAAGCTCAGATTTTTCTAGTCCATGTTCCCGTATCCACATCAACCTCCCTGCATCAATTATATCTTTGCACATGAACCCTAGCACAGCCCGATCTCTTGCACACATATTTCTCAACAACTCATCATCATCATCACCTTCTAAAACCTTTTCATTTTCCCTGCTAAACAGCATAAAATCACTCATCAGGACATCTAACTAAAAACACGGGTAATCAATTCATGAAAAGTCAATGAATAATCATTCCACTACTACATCTTTGTATCCGATTCTTCATGGTCTGCTGAATCTACAGCCCAGCTGGTAAACCATGTAACTGCATGGAACTCGTCTTTGCTCATCCCTTGACTAAAGAAAAAACTTTTATCTGCAACAACCCAACAAGCAAATATGTTCAACAACCCAACAAGCAATATATAAATATTGAAAAGGAGTCGGGTGACAGATCTTACTGATATAATGCTTCCATTGACACAGATGGTGGCAACATGTTGCAATTGAAAGTCCTCTCAGGTAAGATGTGCTGCCATTTTCCCCAACACAACATCTTAAGGTCATATCTGTCAAAACAATTGATTTACATGTCTTATCTTATCTCTTCTCTTCTAGGGACAACAACAACTCAAACAAAGCAAAACCAGCATTACATTACCAGTTGCAGGCCCACACAGATGTTTTCCGATTGCCAAATAAGGAACTCCTTGTAATGACCCGATTGCATTCAGATTCAAGTCCTCAACTGCACAAAAAGTATAAATCAAATCTTTTGTGCTTCTGCTGAGACTAGTTTTCATAAATCATAATCATCTTGAATTCGTGTTATAAAAGGATGGCTTGCTGACTAATGGTGCCTTTTGAAAGGTAATCAACAGATGTTCAAGAAAGTTTCAGTTTTCAATAGAAAAAAGTTGCGTTATTGACACGCAAATATGACCTCACCATATATTAACACATCATGGAGGACCATATGTATAATATATTGTTTTTTCTTTTTCAGAATTAATACATCACAAAGACACAAGGATCAAGCACGCACTACTACTGGAACCATATATAACATTATATGATAAAATAAGAAAAATACAAGTTTTGACCAAATCCTTACTGTCTATTCTCAACCGCTCTAGCATCAAGCTCTCTTTTTGTCGCAAGCTTCGATCCGCCTGATACTCAGGGATAGAGTTGAAAATTGTAAGTAGCAATAAACCACATTGAGGAACATAACATGGTAGCCAGGTTGTGTTTGTTTGTTTACCCAGTGTGATTGATTTATATTATATCATTTAATTGAATTCAGTTCAACATATAAGAAAGAAAGCAAAGCAAAGGCAAGAAAGCGACCTTAAGTTTATATGACTTGCGCTCAATCAAGAAGACTTTTGAGACCCCGTAACAGTCTGCTAGCATTTGTGTCAAGTAACCCCTTCCAGCTCCAAACTCAACCACCGCAGGAGAATGAAGCTGTTCCCCAACACTAGAACAAGACTTGAATGCTCCCAGTTTTTCCAAGTTTCCAAGAATCGAAGCCTGCTGGATAACATGCTTTTCTTGAAATGGTATTTTCCTGAAACTAGACACATTTAATAATAATAATAATAATAATAATAATAATAATAAAAAGACCAGTGCTTCTGTATTGTATTTCACTGGATAACACAGAATCAGAACTTAGAGCTTTGGCTCTAGGAGTACAGCAGAAGCAGAATTTAGAGCTTTCGCTCTAAGTATTTGTGAAGGAATCTGGCTAAAAAGACTGTTGGTTGAACTAGGAGTCTTTACAGAGGGATCTATAAAAATGCTTTGTGGTAAGCAGGATGCCATTAGTATCCCTAAGAATCATGTTCATCATGACAAGACAAAACATGTTGAGATAGATAGATAAGACATTTCATCACCGTGAAGATTGAAAATGCCACAACTGAAACTATTTATGCTCCATCAAGATTTCAAACAGACGACATTCTTACCAAGGATCATCTTTGATGAATTAATGTGGTGCAAGCTGGGAATTTTTGACATACATAACCAAGCTTGAGATTTATGTATTAAATTAAAGGCAGGAAGGTAAAGAAAAACAAAAACAGGATGAAGGGGAAAAGTCCTTCAATAAAAACTTTTGTCCATGGGAGCTGGCACCAGTTGATACATACTTTGTGCACTATAAAATTATTGTAGTCATCTGAGAGGTCTTCTCTAGATCAGTGAGGAATGAAACAACTATTATTTTAGAGGTTTCCAACTTGGAGCTCATTGTCATGACTCATGAGTTACGCTTATTTAGGAAAAATTTCATCTAAAATCCACGCAAGATTAGAAAGCTACAGTTTGCATACCATACCAGTCATTTGCGCGGTTAATCCAATTCCTGCAAACTTCCGGCATGTTGTAAGAGTCTTGAATGTCCTTGCATATGGAAGCGTGAACAGACTTTATTTTTTCGATTAGTTTGACCAACTCAGGTACAGTGATAGATTGCACAGCCATCCTCTTGGACTCTGAGGAAACGTCTTCATCTTCTTCATCGCCTCCATTAATGCCCTTTCGGTAGAAAGGTTGGAGCGACAGCGAGTTCTTATGTTTGAGCAACGGACACCGTCTAAGGTGATTCTCAAGGTTGGATTCCAGTACAGAGCTGTTCCATTACATGGGATAGAATCATATTACGAACTATAGAAAGAGGAAAACTTACTGGGAGGGGTCAATTGAGTGGTTGCCGATAATGGATAGTGGAGAAGAGCGAAAACTTACTGGGAGGGGTCTATTGAGCACTGAATCCACCTGTCATCCGACCTTGTAGAGTGGTTGCCGCAGAACCTATATTGGAAATACGCCAAGTTAAAATCTTGAGGAAGCGTGTTGGGTAATGCTTATTGCTTAGCTTACTCGGTATTGGGGAGCGGGGGAATTGCACAAAATCTCTTCTTTTTGAGCAACCAAAACTTGCATCTAACCCCCATTCTCCGTGGCGCCTAAACCCTAAAAAGGGTTCCGCTTTGCCCGGCTGGTTGCCGCCTCCTCACAAGAGTCCACGGTGGTATATGCCGCTCAGGACTACAGAAACCAAAAGACCTGGACACTGGAGTTTCAGTTGATTGTTACACAGAACTATCTACAACCTAGTGGTCTTTTTTAGTCTGTTATGATTTAAAAAATAAATAAATAAATAAATAATAATAATAATAATAATAATAATAATAATAATAATAATAATAATAACCCACCTCAGACATTATATTTAGGAAAGATCATGCTTATAGGTCTTTGGTTTAAAACTTTTTTTTTGTCTTTCTAAGGGTACAAATTCTTATTTCACCGACTAAATAGACGTTTAGTTATTTTAACTGATGTTCGTGCCTAGTCACATGTCAAACCGGATATCGAGTCAACTCGGCCTTAACTCAGATGTCGCGTCGGCGAGTCAAGACCGATTTTGTTTACTTGGGCCTTAAGGCTTGGTGTGGTCTCATTGTATATACTAGGAGGATCTAGTGCATAAAACCCTAACATTTCATTACCATTTCCGACCAAACACAAGCCGACAATCACCCGAGAACAATCATTTTCGTCACTTTATTCCATGGAGCCTACCCCACCACCGTCATCAGACTCAATAAACTCGATAAACTCAAAAGATGGGACTGAACCTAAATGATTAGTGA